CAAGGGTTTGGAAAAGGGAGGGGGAGAGGGAGAGGGGAGGAAGGTGTTAGAGGTTCAGATCAGCGCGCCATTCACGTCTTTGAGGTGTCAGTGACATTCGATGACCTCGTTTGACGTCTGAGGGACTGTTACATGCACACACAGGCCCCCGCCAGATCTTGGTGCGTGGGGGTGAAAGAGGCACAGATTCATTGTGTCATCGTCATGGGGTGTTGTGGCGAAAGGCGTTCCTGGTTATTGTTGGTTATTTTCGGAACTGGGCAAGAACCCATTCCCTGATATAAACGGATTCTATGAATACCGATTTGTATTAACCGGTATCGTTTTTAGTCTGAGGGAACTGTTGCTATAAAATAAATAATAATTAATATGACACTGTGGATGGCTGGCTTCTTTCCTGTCAAACGTCTATCGTCCATGGCACCTATGTCTCGTCTTTGTGCTGCAAGTGCCGTAAAACTCGTACTAAAAACCAAAACAAAACTAATATAATAATAATAATAATAATAATAATAATAATAATAATAATAATATGATAAAGGAGTCAACTTTCAAAAATACAATCAGCTAAACTGTACTTTCCTTCGCATTCTTATCCGGCTTCAGCTACCTCAAGAAATTATTGCTGTTCAATTTTATTGAATTAATTTGAAATAATATATAACATTGTTCATTTTTCATCAATCTCACTTCAACACATCCTCGCGAATCATTACATGAAATTAACCTTTTAACTAGATGATGAATCAAGATCACTTGCTCATTTGACATTGATCGTTTAAAAAAAAAAAGAAGAAATAAACCGGTTAAGAGAATTGGGAATCGGATTTTTTCCAGCTCTAGCAATTACCCTTGCTATCTCCTGCGTAGTCCGAGGTCAATAGGTCCTTAGGCTGTTGCGACCCTATTCGTCTGGTCTCGCTGTCTTAATTAATTGTGTTACGTCATTGGATTCAATTTGCCTCGTGCCCATTTGTGCCCGCTTTTATCTTTCTTTTCACCTCTTCTTCCATTTCGGCAGAATTTTCACTAGAATTCATTGATGCCTTATTTGGAATCCAAAGACAACACCCTTCATGATTAGTACAGGGTATTAATTTGCAATGTTTTAGAAACTGAAGCACGTTCATTTTCGTGTCGCGGAATATATTGAGACTTCGATGAATCACTTTTTTTCCCGACATCAGGACCATGTGTTGAACATGGTTAAAAGCCACATATTAGAGGAACTTATTTCTTAGATGAGGAGGATATAATAACTGAAATGGGAATTCTTTGTCTGGACAGTGGTGACATGTAGCGTGAGGATGTGAAGAGTGAGAGCAAGGGAGGATGAAAGGGGGTGGGGATGGTTGATTATTAGAATTGAAAACCGAACTTGAATTCATTTTCAATTAAGTACATGTATATGTACACGGCTAGTTTTTTTTATAGTATTTATTTTTTATTTGTCTCCGTAGTGACGCTTTTGCTGTGAAACACAATTTTTCTACTCTTTTCCCTGCAGTTCCTGCATTGCCAACGAGGTGCATTTGGTTTGGGGTCAAGTCTAAAAAGGTAATGGCTTTTCTTTTTTTTTTTCTCAAATTTGTTTACTCCACCCTGCTCAAAGCTCAGACAGTACATCAATATTTGTGAAAGTTGAATGACTTCCTTGTTATTCATCTTCCTCTTTTAAAAAATATATTATATTAATACTGTGTCCAGAAGGACTTTGAACGATATCTTTTAAGATCCCACTTCCTCTTCCCCAGCCATGTTCATTACACCATTCTGTTTGATTTTATCGTGCTATCCTTTTTTAAGTGCTATCACTCTTCACTGCATCTTCGACTTAATACAGCTATAACAACAATGTTGTTTGCAACTCTAGTCAGCTTTCAGTTTCACACACCTTTGGATATCTAAACCAAAATTGCATTCACTTTCAATGATGTCATACTTTTTAACTGATTTGTGTTTCTATCGCTCTTAGGAGACCTTTCATTATTATTATCTTTACAATGTTACTTAATTTACTCACTAACTCAGTAACTGAATCACGAGGCGCAAAAGGCAGGGAGCAGCCGACGCCTCTCTTGTCTGTCCCTGGCCACTTCCTCTAACTTTCTCACATTCAGGCCCAGGATAATTACCTAATCCGTGATCGTGCTCTTGTAACTTTGGTCTTGTCTATCCCACTTTCTTTTTTCCATTTCGCCTCCAGTACCAAGGACAATCTTGTCTCTGGTGGCATTCTTAAAACATGTCACAATTATTTCCATCTTCTCTTTTCTGTGGTCATGTTGATGTATTAGGTCCCATTTTTTTCCTCCAAAACTTCATTATTTGCAAATTAATTCCATTCCATTAATAACATTTTTCGTCAACATTTAACTTGAAATCTTTTTAATTTTTGTTGAATTGCTTTGTTTGTTTTCCATAATATCTCCAAACAACGCCTAAGTACCGTCAAAGCTTCGCCATTATATAATTATGCTTTAATTTGGTTTTCAGTGAGTTGATCTTGAATTCCAAATGCTTTTTAATTTTACATATTCGATTTTTGCTTTTTAAAATCTTTGATAGACGTCGTCAATGCAGTCTGTTTTTTTAAAGGGAAATTGCTGCTAAGGTATTTGAATTTAATATTTTCTCCCAGAGGTTTGGTTTGCCCTAAAGAATGATGAGTGGGTTATACTCTTTGGTGGTAATCGCAGCACTTCTTTTTTGTGAAAAAAAATCATTACAAGGTCAACTTTGTCTGCAGACCTTGCCAATTTATCTGTTTTTCCATTGTACTTCGTTCACTGTGGTGTTTAATAATAGGCGACACATATATTATGTAATGTTACATACATATGTAACGCCGACTAAGTTTTGTTCTCTCCCGGTACAACGTTCATGGCATGTTCTAGACATTTACCCCCTTAAATTTCGGTAACTCCCAAAATAGCTGTTTTAGCCACGTGGGTGAACTTGTGTAGCCTACCTGGTTTAAAAACGCTGATGTAATGTTTTAGGTCACCCAAGCTATCTGGCTCAACAGTTGACACACGTGGGTTTTGTGCACCCGCTCAAGTTGTGACCGGGTGGTGTGTCAACTCAGAAGAGTTTGGGATCACGATTTCCTGTAAAAGTTCTTTTCCTTCCTTTTTCCTTCCTTACTTAATGTTTCCCTTCTTTCGTCCCCCTCCCC